CATCTAACCAACCGCCAGCCACCAAACCACAAAAAAAGAATCACAACTGGATATCACATACCTCCACATACACCCACATAACATCCCGCTCCACAGCATCTTACTCGATCCATCTCCCGCCTCCCTCCTTCCTGGTTCGACGATTCATGGAGTGTGATATCAATATTCGATTTCCTCTTTATGACTATTTATGAGATTTTGCAAGTATACTGACTATGAAGTATAACAAATAATACTCGAGCATATTTCTAGTTCCAAGTTGTGTCGGTATGTCGTATCCTCCCATATCACCAAGGGGTTCCAGCTTCCTTCAGGAAGCATCTTAGCCCCTTCCTCAAACTACCTCCTCACTACTCACCAGGTACTCAAGAGACTATGCTTGAATAAGCTTTGATTGGTGCATCTCAGATTTGGTGAATCTTCAGGCTGAGACCGGCGCTTTTTTGGACCACACCATTTTCTTCAATACTAGAGCAGCTTAGGAGTAGTTCTCTACATCTCACCATGCATTCAATAGTTTATATCCCACACCGCTTGAAGATAAGGCTAAACAGGCCGAACGGTTTTTGTTTTGCCATGTTCATTCGTCTGACTGTTTCGTGTTGATTCAAATTCACATTTGCATAGATATGCTCTCCACGATTTAGATCTCTACGTACCTCATACCCAGGTGTCTATACATGCAGAGTCAGTCTTGGTGTCTTGGTAGGTAGGATCCATTGATCATGATACTTCAATTTCTAGAGTAGTACAGACCAACTCCTGCTTCCTTGAGGAATCCACACATACAACCTCATCGTCATAAGTGATTAAATAACGCCGATCACCGTTTTCTCTGCTCTTTGCTTCATCAAATTGCACCGCACCTTTTAACGCACTTTTAACGCACTTTCAACGCACGTACATGCAGCACGCACACAATCGTGCTGTACTGGTGCATACAATACCAAACGAAACAAAACAAAACAGCAGGAGCAACAAGCTGACAGCAAATGCCTTTAGAGAAGTAAACGCCAATACCGATACGGGTTCTATTCCTAAACTTTCGCTACGAGAATTGTTTCTCTTTTTCGAATTGGGCCTCTGTAAAACTTCCACTCCCGTATCAAAGAATCCCATCATGAGACGTTCCAATGATTCCTCTCAGAGTCTCACACGCCCCAAAGTCTGTGGTCCTTGAGCCTTTCCGTTGCATTCAATCTGTGCACCCTTATCATTCAGATATCGCCATATGTACGTTTTGATGCTTGAGCGAACCTCAAAATCACGCTGACAGCTTTCTTTCCAACGCTTGGAAAAAGAAAAGAAGAAAAAGGTTACGGTTCTGACCATACGGAGCCACGAGACCCTACATAGATAGTATACTTCGTGGCACTAGGTGAATTTTGTTACGAGGCTAACTCTAGTAGTGCTTGACCCCTGGATCATAGCATAGACCTTGGGGGGGAGGGCTAAGCTTTATCCATGATAATCCATCCTTTCCTTCTCCTCCATCTTCTTCATCTTTTCACTCACACTCACACTCACTGGCTCCTTGACAAACAAATACGAACTCACGACTCACGAGTCACGGGATTATAGGAGAACAGACTCGATAGACTTGATGGTTTGTCATGAGATGGTGAGAAATCACTTTGAATTGTCTGTGTGCTATTAAATGATGCCGATGGATATCTATATATTCTCCACAGTCGATATTAAATGGTGATCGTCTTTTATAATTGCGATATTCGATTTGCTCCTCACTAGTACCTGACTAGACACCTCTTAGAGAGTTTAGTATTACATACTAAAGGCAATAGAGTCAATTTTATCATTTTTCTTTCTTAATGCTACGCAAACCGACTTCTCACACTCTGCCCACGAATATCTACTTCGCACCACAGCCAGAGTCCAACGTGTTGTGTCCACGTTGGAGGCTTGGAGCACCCATCTTGAAAATATATCCCGATACCATACCGGTACTCTATGCATTTACGACTTATCGCCTTGGCTTCGGCAATGCACTGTACCTACTCAGGGCCTGCCTCAACACACTCACCAATCACATTATGGAGCGTTGGGACGTGGAAGCAGAGTTTAAATCCAACATAATAATCCATGCAAGATGACGGGCGAGTTGCTTGATTGCTTGACTTTGATGAACCTGAGCCTGAATGATTTCTGTACAGAGTATGTAGTATCATTGGATATCATCACCTGTGGATTTCATGGATACAACGATTGAATTCCCTGGAATTTTCTTGCGCATGTGGTATCACATATTTATCACCTTAACCAGCCCACCTTGATGGGGAGGCACAAATTTACGAACAACAGGCTGAAAATCGGGGGATTTATGTAACTATACATAGATCTCGCATCTGAGACTTTCCAACAGTTTGAGGAAAATATGAAAGACATTGACGTGAACAGCTTCAGTCTGACGTCAACGTGTCTGAGAATACATATGGGGGGTAATTGGGATCCAACGCTCATCACAATTCAACAGAGACATTGTTGCTTCGTTTGTCACTCGTCGTTGTCATCATCTCCATGGACTCCAGTTTTTTCTTATCAGCGTTGTGAATATCTGACGAGGGGGAGGAACAGTTTGTTCTCTTCTGATCGTCGTATCCCCATGTATATCACTGCCTCCATGTCTTTCCTTACCATCACCAACCCCGACCTTGTCGTCCAACGTAACATAATATAACATCTAATTTCACATGACGATCTTTCTATCTTTAACATCACCAACCCAACATCTCAGAGTCTCTTTCCTTCCTTCGGACTCTTTATGTGAGTTGCTACCCCATCCCACCGACCTGAGCTGAACACACAAATCCTCTTCCGAGAATTACCTCTCCACACTCGATATGTCATTCATAATCACACCCTAGAACCAGAAGCTAAATCAGGATCTGAATGGCATCAGCCTCATTGTTATTGTTATTGTTATTCTTATTCTTATTCTTATCCTAAGTAAGCACACCTCGCCTATACCGCCACCATCTCTCCGCCATAAGCGGAGTTTAAACAAGACTCGAGACTCAAAGGTAAGATGGCAACATGATCTCCGTAGATGTAAAACATAAGCCGCCATTTCTCGAGCATAAGTTTACACACATACATGTACCTGAGCCACGGTACTGGGATGATAGATTGGGACTTGGACTTGGATCTTTATGTAAGATGTGCTTACTTGATGAGACACTGCGGAGGAAGTTGTTGGTAGCTTGAGTGAGATTTGGTAGGTTACACTCCTTTGGGATATATATCTTCTGTAGAGGACATGGTATCGAAGATGTTTGTGTAGGTAGAGTTTGTTATGTATGTATAAATATATGTAGGGCTTACAAGAGATGTTTCATATTCCATTCAGCATGGAACATTACATGTTGTCACTGACTCACTAAAATCCAAGCCTCGAATCCCAAATCTCAAACCCTAATTCCAACTCTTCCCCTTCCCGCTTTCACCCTCCCCCATACTACACACCCACACATTCATAGTTCATCAAACCAGCCGCTCAACCACTGCATATCATAACAACAACAACAACAACAACAACCAACATCCCGTAAAGTGCTTTGTCCTAACCCCTCTATCCTCCAATGCGAATCCCATCCAACCCAATCCCAAAACTTCCACATTCCATCAAGTTATTGCCCCTCTGAGGATACATCCGTAGATATTCTCCATGATCCCCTCTCCCACCCACTTTCCAATACTTTCCCAACCCCAAAGTCCATCTCCAGACAGTGTCTCCGGGCGAGATTTCGTGTTCTCTATCCTCTATCCTCTATCCTCCCTCCTTAGTTACATTCCAATTTCCAATTCCCAGATATCTACCTACCTATCTACCCATTCATACCAACATCCCCTCCAGCACACATTTATTTCCTAGATAGCCTATCGGGAGTCGCAACCTGCAATATCTGATCACCATGTCTGTCTTTCTGTCCATGAAATCTGGATGTATCTTATTTGAAGATTCGATTTTCCCAAATTCTCAGATATTCATTGGATTTTGATTGGTCGTCTCATCTCAATCATCAACCCTCAATTTGCCATGGCATCAAGATATCCAAATATTCAAATCCATCTCATTCACCCCCGCCCCTCCCCCCTTTTCTCACATCCAAAATACCACTCATCCCCATCTGTGTACATTGTACAAGTCCCATACGGCGCCCACTGACCAGCGAAAATTTTCACTCAAGCCATTCAAACCTTCTCAATCACTTCCATCCATAATCCATCACCATCTATATATCAAGTAAAGTGATATTAGAAACACCTAGTCAAGTGAGAATCCATTTCATCATACCGAGACAATAGATATAAAACCTACAGTTAGCTCTACAACTTTCCCACACCATGTACACAACACATACTGACCTCCTCCAAGTCAACCACCTTGAATCTCCTCCCCGTGTTCCAACACTCATCCATCAGCTTCAATGACCATCAAAAAATTCAAACTCACAAAATACAAATCATAAGCACACGCATACACAAGTAAATTGTTCATGAAATTTTCGTCTGTCTATTATGCTATCGTTCACTTCATGTTCCTAAATCACCACACCCACACGCCGATATCTTGACTCGTTGAATGACAACCAACAACCATATTGCCCTACAACATACAAGAAACGAATATTAAGGAAGTACTAAGTTTCAAAATAGGGTTGTTGAAATCTGAATTGTTCTTTTTCTAGGTCCGCCCAAGCCACCCATCCTTTCATTTGTTTGGCAATGGCATTCATTACTTATGTGTATTTCTGTCCATAACACGGATAAAAAGTTGTGGAAACGATGCCACGTCTCACTCTGTGTCGTGCCACTCCAAAAAAAAAAAAACCATTATACAAGGAGAATTCTTATTTCTCAAGAAGTTTGTGTACTCGCTTCGAAAGAGGCTGCGAGTTGACTATCCATTATCATTTATCGCATAATCGGATCGACTGTCGCGGTCGTACCGATTGTGTAGAGTCGTATCCCGAGGTGCAGATTTATGCCTTGCGGGAGCGGGTCGCTGGTCGAGCTGGGCTTACACCTGTTGCACGAGCATTTACAGGGCTTGCATTGATCTTTCCATGTGTAAGTGTGGCGACATCCGGAACTTTGGCATCGACCAAGGAACGAGCAGCCTTGCGACCCGTGGGACGCTTTCCATCCTTCTTGTAGGTTGCGAAGTAGAAGGAGATGAAGAGCAAAAGGTAAGAGCTGAGAATACCCATACCAGCGAAAGCTGCAAATTCTTCACCAGCACAGTGACCTGCGCTTGGCATGTTGGGGAAGTAAGTTGACGTAAAGTAGGTGTAGGATGCAAAGTAAACGAAGCCTGTAAAGTGAAGAGTCTGTTAGCAAGCTGAAAAATATAATATGTGGCTGATTGGGGATTTGTGCAGCCTTACCAAGATCAATGACAAACTGAATAATCTGGAGTCTGGTGATCCATTCCTTCCACCAAATGCGAATTCCACGCGCGCTCTGGAAATAGTACCAGTACATAACAACGTGGACCATGAGGTTGAGGGTAATTGGGACCCATGACACGGAAGTCAATCCAATAAGTTGAGTGTAACACAAGAGAGCAGTGGCACCGTGGTGGTAGCAATGAAGGAAAGCTGTGCATAAAATATTAGCATATATACCAGGAATGGATCGCAACGCTGCGGCTACGTACTCAATGGCTTTTTCTTCAAGACGAGGAAGACGGTATCAATCAATTCGAGGTATTTTGTAAGGTAATTGAGCTAATCCGTGTTAGCCGCACAATCATATTGATCCCATCTCATCCCTAGTAGAACTTACATAGTAGAGAATAACCAAGGGAGAAGTCCAACCACCTCTGACATCGCAGATGGCGTAGAAAAGACCATGGTTGTAAACTGTGGGTACCAATTGCTCAACGAAGAGTGCCAAAAGGATGGCGCTGATAGCTGTAAGGTAAAAGTTGTGAATCATGAAAGGACCATTGAGTTTGAAGGCTGGTCGATTTCGCATCAACTCCCTTCCACCGAATATTATTACATAGTATGCCAGAATTGTGAAGCCGCTCTCCTTCAATGTTGACATGGGCGTAACTCGTGGTTGGAAATCGAAGTCTTGAGGGTGGTAGCCTTTCACCGCGGTGAATACTTTATCGAAGATTGGCCATAATTCCACACCGAATGGCTTGTCAATTGATGGAAAGGGGAATGCCCTCATATCTAATCCACTTGACGACATAACGACAAAACTGCGATTGTGATGGATGGATTGTTGACCTTAATATTGAATGTGCGACAATGCTCTTGAGATGTCGCGTGTTCTTTTCGAAGAAGTGGAAATTCGCTAGGGCGAGAAGTTATTTACAACGCGAAAATGCAACTTATAAACAACAATCTCTTCTGCAATAAGATGACGACAACGAAAGATCGAGTCTGAGTCTCTCGGTATGAATTCAAGACATAAAAGTATTGAAAAACCCAATGGATGAATGAATGAATGACGAGTGAAGGGAATGGAAGTGAATAGATTAATATCCTTTAGGACAACCCCCCGGTAGTCTAATGAGAAGAATAACGATGCACAAGAATTTTGGGGGAAAAGGTTAAAAGGATCTGGAGAAACAATTCTAGAAAAGTCGCTTCTTGATGAGAAATGTGAACTGTCTTAAGATTGAAGAGAAGGGAAGTGAAGTGAAGGGAAGGGAAGGGGAGGGAAAAAAAAATTTCCTTTTTGATGTGTTCCTACCAAAACAGATGAAGAACTGTCAACTAGTTCACTTTTTTCCTTAAAGGGGTCGGGAACGGGGAGACATTACCGAGATTGGATTCTGGAAGAATTTCACATGCTACATGCTTTTTCCTACGTATCATCCCATCACCGACTTTTCCAAGCATTTGGCTGTAACCAATGGTTCTTGGAGCATTGTCAAAAGCTACATAGGTGGGAATATATAACCAATTGTGACTGGTTGATGAATTCCCATTCATGTTAGCAACGGCGTTTTGGTAATTTCATACTTGGATTTTGAAACTTTGACAGTTGACCTCAATTCTCCAGGAATAGGGGTGGACCCTTGGTTTACTCTGTAGAGAGACTCCGTCTGTCATAAGGCATTTTGATGATGTTGCGTGCTTGAGTGAGGAGGATACATGGTTGCAGCTACTGGATAGACCAACAGTGACATTATGCTGATATTAGTTGGCTGGCTAGAGAGTCGATATACATAGCGAGTAGCTAGAGCAACATTCTGGAGTAGACAGTTCAAAAATGCAATCATCTGGGTTACCCTGTGTTCACAACCACCAAAGCAAAGAAATCTAATAGATTCTTTCCTGTCTACTTATATGTAATCTTGTAAACATCGTGCATATCTGGCGGTTGATGAGGCTCAAGCAAACCTTAATATCCCCAACCCTTTTTCTAGCGAGTCAACTGGCTCCTAGAAACCCTGATAGAGTTGGGCTAATAACATGCAACATTGAAATTTGAAATTAGCAGAAAGCCATCGCGAGTATTTGTTCTAACCTGTTAGTCTCTGTCACCTGGGAAGGACGTGGGCTGAGAAACTTCATAGAATCTACTTCAGATAGCCTAAGAGCTCAGTCACTACCTACCACACACTTCAATTATTCACCGATATAGACTCCATGCTAATCGGTCAAGCCGCCTTGCTGTCCGTCGCGTGGATGCTCGGAGTGCTATGGAGCTTGAGCTCGGAAGCGATATTCGCACTCTTGGCATCTAAAAAAGCTGTACAGAATGTGTCGCTATGCTGTATGCTGAGATGATGACCTCGGTTCGTCCTGAAGTTCATCTACTGTTGATCATAATGGCCGGTTGAAAGCATTAACATTTTGTCAATGGAGGAGATTAAGTAGTCGGGATTGAAAGATCACATGTTTATATTGTTCTAGATGGGAGACGCTGCGGGAAACGCGGGGAATAGTCTCGACATTTGAGAATATGTTTTACAAATGCCATTGAAGGAAGTGCTGGGTACTGGTTTGAGAAACGAAAAGAGCCGTACTGTGACATGACTAAAAAGAAGACGACGACCTTTATTCTGACTGGCAATCCAGCCATGAACCCCAGGATATCAAGATACCTAGTCAATCTGTCAAATCTGTCAAGATGGATAACCATAAGTTAGTCGGATCTGTCACGCATGCGATGACATCCTAAAAAGTGCTTCCAAGTCATGTATCAAACGAATGATGGTTTTTATGAATCCGAATTAACAACTTTGAAAATCAAATTGCCATGTAAGATGGATCTGGATCTGAGAAAGAGCAACATGGTAGACATACGAAGTACAGGTAAGCAGAGGTGGGATACTCGAAAGATGAAATGACCTGACATCAATATTATTCAAGGCCTCGGGTGCTGAGGCTATGACTAAGCGATGTTTATAACCAATCATAGCACATGGATTGACTTGGTCTGGAAATTGTCGAAACTGTGCAATTTTGACTTCCAACCCGTCGAAAGTTCACGAAATACCCAATAACCTCACCACAACAGCTTTTCCTAATGTCGTCAACCAGATTTCTGCGTATTGCTACGCGCGCGCAGCCATCGGCTATTTTCAGATCCAATGGACTCCGAAGCTTCACTCCCCGTGCTGCCCCAACAATGAGCGCAACTTCTGTTAGCTCTTTCAGCACCACCAGCCGCAGTTTGTCTGCCGATAAGGACGGGCAAGAAGCTGGTCACCACGAGGAGAGTTTCGAGGAATTCACAGCTAGGTATGTCGGTCTTCAATTGGAGGGGCATATTGCTCGCATTTGAGCATGTTTCCCACACAACCGAAACGAGCCGAAGGGAGATCAACATGCGGTACCAAGGTTGGCTAACGACCGGATAGATATGAGAAGGAATTCGAGCAAGTTCAAGATGTTTTCGAGCTTCAGGTATGTGTAGTCCTCATTACTTTCTTTCTTCCCCACGTTCTCTACATGTGTATCTACACAGTGCTAATTATCGTATAATCTTCCTTGTATAGAGAAACCTCAACAACGCTTTTGCCTACGATCTCGTACCTTCCCCATCCGTCGTCGTTGCCGCATTGAAAGCCGCAAGAAGAGTCAACGATTACCCTACAGCCGTACGAATCTTCGAGGGTATGTAGTGTTTGTTTTGCATTTCGCAAGTGGGGTGGATACTAGGCATAGTTGAGGAGGGGTATAGGGCTGACATCATCATACATAGGTATCAAAGCAAAGGTCGAGAACCGTGGCCAATATGACCAATATTTGGAGGAACTTAAGCCTCTCCGTGAGGAATTAGGTGTGAGCTTGAAGGAGGACCTCTACCCAGAGTCCAAATAGATGATGACGACGGTGAACGAGGGAAGAGCTTTTGTAGATGAAGGAGAAATGATACTGAGGATAGATGGACAGAGTGCTTCATGGCTCTGAATTGCGACTTTTCTTATCTGTACAGCTGTATTAAGAATCACAATCCACAACCCACCAGTTTGGAAAAGACCTGTCAATTGCCATCGTATTCAGTGATAAGGAGGATTTTAATATTTGTTACTAATGCCAGCCTACAGTCCTACAGAAACAAGTCTCGATTGGATGGAAAATATGGCGACTGAGAATTGGAGGAGAGGATTAGGGAGCTTCGATGTCAGGGCTGTCAAAAAACTGACAAGTCATATATCATTGTGCAGAACCAGTTTCGGCTCGGGTCAGGTTAAGACAGCCTTAAACTTATGGAAGGCTGGACCTCAAGCTCAAGATGGTCTCAAACTCCTCGAAGCTGAAATATGTTCAGGTTATATTTCTATTTGAAGTAGTTAAATTTCAAAGATGTTCTACGGACGTTCACGGGGAACTTGATTTAGGGTTGGCGTGGAGACATTGTTAGACAGGTCAAGCACGAGGATATAAAGGCTTGATACATGAATATTCTTATGTATCATGACTTATTGCATAGTTCTTATATTTAAGCTCGAGGATCCGATCCAAATCCGCTATTATTGGTTAGTGGCTATATATCGAGACCAACCAGTTCTTGCTTGCTGACTTGGATGCTCTCAACACACATTCCGTGAGATTGTATTGACCTATGGTGTGTTGTTTCTGATCTTTTCCCTTCCGGGCAATGTGTGTATGATATAAGAAATGCAATTAGATTTGAACCCAGTTACAGTACTGCAAAATTCCTCAGTAGATTGTGTAGCTTGGTGATTTCTACTGATTACCGGGAACTGTGTTTGGCTGCTCTACTGTAGACTCTGTGTAAACAGACAAAGTATCTTTTTAAAGTGAAAATCAGATTGAAGCTAAGAAGTGCTCGATTACGTTTCCATCTTCCCATCTAGACTGTTTACTCGAAAAGCGGTCCGTGGTTGGTCGAGGGACAGCAAGTATTCACTGTGAATATTCCATTACCCGAAGGGTTTGCTGCCATTCTTAATTGCCTGATCTTCAAATTCACAAACTTCAGAAATATTGTGGTCTGCGACGACCCAAAATTTCCAGCTGTTTTCCCTCTCAAGTACCTTTTGACGGTGCCGGAAAACTACGCATCCGCAAGCTATCTGGTTTCTAGAATAGAAAATATTCTCAAGAAACTGGCCGTAAGTTCTTCATTTCAACTTTCTGTCTATCTCGGGAGGGTCGGGTCTTTTGCGACAGAGTGTGTTGTTCTCACCTTCCTTACAACCTTTCACTTCAAAGGATTGCAAGAACAAAAACTGCACTTTCCAGCCCAAAAGTCCCTAGAAAGACAAGTCACTGGAGAGAACATCATTGTCAAGTCAAGACCTTGAGTGACATTCAATTCTATTTTTGCAATATATGCAAAAGGAAAAGGTGCATCTCCTTCGAACATCAAAGAGCATGGGCTAACCGCTAACCAATTTCCTTCAGGGAGAACAACTTGTCCCAGGAATTCAAGAGAAAACCAACAAATAGGAAGTGAATGGCCATTGAGCAATATGGATTCTATTCTCACGCCGCTGATCTGGAGGAAATTCCAAGATGGTAACGGATCAAGAAGTTCTGAAGAATCAAACAACAGCACCATCTCAACTCCAAACTCAAATACGGATGTGATAGATGGCATTCTTCAACAGTACGAAGCGCGGCTGTCCAAGAATAAGGCGTTAAATCTTGTGGTCATGGATAATTCGGAATCTGATGACGCCGAAGTAACTTCAGAAGCAACCACTCAGAAGCGAGCCTTGATTATTGCCAGAACCTCATTAATTTATGAGGATGTTCAACCTCTCGAAACAAACTCAAAAGTCTTCACTACCAATAACCACCACCACCAGACAAGTCAGCAACGGTGTATCTATGAAAGGCGCAACAGCGAAGGAGCCCAGATATCACTTCCTAGACCATTATTCATCGATGCTATTGAATCTATCAGCTCGAAATCCACGGGTTCAAAAATCCATCACCCCCGAATGAATCTTCAACATGTTTCCGAGACAGATGGACACTATGAAGTTAGGATAGACAAAGGGTTTCAGCGAAAAGGTGTCGAGCCAAAATTGGTGTCAGATACATCCATCTCCCATATAGAAGACTTGGAAGAGCCAGAGACAAGTGTAAGTTTTCTTCTTTCTCATGTCGTCTTCTTTTTGCTGTAATCTTATCGCATTTCGGCCACAAGGCTATGTGTGCTATCTGACTATCATTGAAATCTCTCGGCTAGCCCCACTGCTTTGAGCTAACATTTGATGCGCGCGCCCGCCTGCAGAACATCCACTTCCAAAAAGTTTCCAAACTTGCGTACATCGACATATGTAATGCAAATAACGAGAAGCCAATAATTCAAAACATAAATGATTTCGATGGCCTAGATGATCACAGGTATGCTCACTCTGAAAAATTCACAAGCCACACACTTTTTGGTTTGGCGCATAACTAATCCTTGAAGTCCAATAACTTTGGTGGATGATGCGCCAAAGGAAGGGGATACGGACTCAAGCAAGATTGTGCAGCCGGTCGAGTGGTATGATGAGTTTGGCAGACGAATGTACTTCGAATTGAGTATGTACTAACCAAATATATAGGATGTTTGCACATCGCTACTGGAAAAATACCAGCACCCGAATGTAGAATACTCCCTCTGCAGTCCGTCTAGTGTTCGTTCTTGTACTAACGGAGCAATTCTGCAGTTCTCCAACGGCGCAATCTTCCAAAGCATTCAAAGAGACCGGTGCAAAGATGGTACGTCCTGGCACACTGTCAATACAATGCCCTCTAGCTGACATTTAAAAGACCAGACCTGCTTTACATGGAGGCAAAAAACCTGTGAACCGGCTGAGAAATGCACAAAATACTCCTTCATATTCGCACACCCGGTCATTCGAGCCCTTCAATCTTCAAGCTGAACGACCCAACAAGAAGCAAAAAACAGAGCAAGCACTTTTAAGCAATGGAACAGGCAGCGGGCCAAATCATTTTGAGCATGAAGCAAATCAGGGTCAGGGACCTATGAGCCAGATGCCTATACAGAGTCAGTACAATAGCTCGCCTCACCAAGAAAATGGCATTCGCTCAAAAGTCAAGTCTTTTGAAGCGTACACCGTAGCTGAATACCAAGCGGTCAATGACTTAGTGAAGCCGCGAAAGGACAAGCGTAAGAGGCATAAAGTTAACTCTGACCACTATTCAGAAAGCCAGGGTCACACTCACGGAAATGCTGGTTTTAAGGCACAACAGACCGCCAACGCTAAGAGACTTACAAATGGTTCACAACTGGAGGATATTAGAGACCCTATATCCAATGAAGAAGATGAGCTGCAGGCTCCACACTCTGCCTCGAAATCCGTTCCTCGCGTTGTAATTCCGTTTGGTAGCAACTTACACCTAGCAGCTGCACACCAAGCTCCACGTTCGAGAGCAAGCGAAATCCAGAAATCGTCGCGCGTCTCAAATTCGCAACTCGAAAGGCGCATTTCATTCAATTCTGTACAAAAGAGACGTGTATTGGGAGAGTTGCGACTAGAGGACGGCAGTGAGGATGAGTTATCGCAGGGAAACCCACCCGAGGTATTGCATGTAAAGCGGGCCAATAAATCACGACAGAACCCAGAAGCCAACTACAACGACGGCGAGGATGATATTGATATAGAATCGAGCCTTGATAGAAGGGGTGACATGACGAAATGGGGCAGCGATAGATCTCACGACCAAAAATTACAAGAACGGGACTACAGGAAATCTTTCAGGGTTGAAAGCCTCTTTTCACCAACTTTTTATTGGCATCGACCAGGTACAATGCAGAAGCAGTGCGTGGTTCTGGACAAGTCCGGGACATTGGGACTTATGGGTGATGATAAGAAAATCATTGGAGGGTTCTTTATCAACGCAAATGCCATCCTTAAAATGACGGTTGGACGTGACTCCTGTAAACTGACTATCCGAAAGTCTCAAGGGATTGGTCCCATGAAGGATCATGACATGCTCATGGAATTTTCCGGGTTGTTCGAGATTGAAAATTTCCTCAAGTCGATCAAGCCATTCCTGAAAGATGCTGAAGTTAAATGGGTGGAATCGTTCGTAATCTTGATCCTTATTTTTGATTCCCCAAGCTGATAAACAATTTAGTTCTGAAATCGATCAAAGGTTTCATCATACCCGCGAAGAACTCGACAAGAGAGCTGACCAAGCAGCCAAGAAACGAAGCAGAGCCGAAAGCCAGCCTGAAGACGTTCAACTCTTGACGTTAAATCAAGACAGACGAACGGCGCAGCGAACCCAATTGCTTGGGCATGACGGTCAGCAAGCACAACATTACAATCTCTCAAGAGCAAAGAGGCAAAAAATTCATGAAAAGATGCAGATGCCGCTCTCTCAACAAAACAAGAATGATAATTCCGATCCAATCGAACCCGCCGAGTTTTACACATCATCCAGCAAAACCAATGGAACTCGTGCTTCATTACGAAGCGCTGAGAGACCCAAGTCGTTCAAACCGACCTCCGAGGCAAGAAGTCCCAGCCCGGAACGTTGGTCTGAGGTCAATAGGGACTGGGAAAAGAATTGGGAGAAATCTGTGGTATATCCTAAGAGCGGTAAGAAGACCGCTACCGTTGATAAGCAAGATATCTACAGGCTTGATAATGGAGAGTTTCTGAACGACAATCTTATTATGTTCTATCTCCTCTGGCTCGAGCAGCAGCATCCCGAGCTGGCTAATCGCGTTTATGTTCATAACACGTTTTTTTACGCAAGCTTAACCAAGGCTGCGAAGGGCAAGAAAGGGATCAACTATGAGGCTGTTGAGAGATGGACAGCGAAAGTTGATCTTCTGTCTTATGATTATATTATTGTTCCCGTCAATGAGAATACTCATTGGTATGTGGCAATCATATGCAATGCGCCCAAGCTTCTCAACCTAGAGATCAAACAGTCGTCACAACCTATCGAGAATGGTGCGCAATCTGAACAGAATAGAGAAATAGAGTCTTGCAGCGCAAGCAAGCTCACCACACCCTCTAAATCACCACCGTCTGGTCCCGTGAGATCTGTAAATGATAAAGACGAGACTGGTGTCAACAATAGCTTTGGAGAGTTGTCATTGGCACATGGCGAGGAAAGCGGAGCTCCAATAGATCTCGAGCTTGCAAAGAGTTTCCCTCCCAGTCACCACGGATTGCTATCTACTTCATTGGAAATGGATCCGGACGATACCGGGGTAGACAAGTCTGCAACAAATGTGATTGATCTAGCACAATCGAGCTCGCCACCGACAAAGTCAAACTCCACGGCAAAGGGCAAAAGAATTCCGCCAATTCGCACCTATGACCCAAAGCAGCCTAGAATCATCACTTTTGATTCACTTGCTTTGAAACACTCCAATACTTGTAGCAATCTCAAAGATTACATGGTCGCCGAAATTAAAGCGAAGAAAAACATGTCAATCACACCCCCTAAACCCATTGGTATGGCGGCAAAAACACAGGACAAAGATAGTGCCACAGGAAGATATTTAGGTAAAGGTCTCCCTGTACAAGGCAATTATTGCGACTGTGGCGTGTACCTGCTAAGCTACATTGAGGAATTCTTTGAACGCCCTGATAGTTTCATAGAAGATATCATGGAGAACAAGTACGAAGTTGATGGCGATCGGAATGATACACCTGCATTTCGTACTAAGATCCGCAATATTCTTCTCAAGCTTCAGAAGGAGCAAGTTCAAGAAGCATATGCAGCCAAAATGGCCAAAATGGCGAAAAAGGCTAAAAGGGGGAAAGATGTTCCTTTCATGACTGCTAACCAGACTGACTTGGCAAAGTCGCAAACAGCGTCTGGCCCCGGGTCAAACATTGCCCAACAAAAGTCTGTTGCTAACACCTTCACTCTCAATGAACGTCGTAATTACGATGATACCTCGACAGAGTCGACAGAGGCGAGGAATTCTCTAAAATCGATGCCAAAATCCAAGGAAGTTATCAATATCAGTGATAGCCAGGACAATCTTCAAGAACAATCCCAAGAAGGCCCTACATCAACTTCCGTTAATGTTATAGACGATAAGCCAGTTGAAGAGCAACCAAAATCAAGAGTTCATGATAGGGACGCTCGCCAAAGTGCGCATACTGTGGCCAATACTTCCAAGCCTCCTATACACCTTGAGATTCGTGATTCCCAAGAAGATGAAGAAACAACACAGGAAGGTGCGGATCAACAATTGTTAGCCCAAAACCGACGGAGGGAGCCCTCTGTCATTGATCTCGAGAATGACGAGCCTCACAAAGGCGAGGAAACAACTGAACAAGAATCTCGAGGTGGTAAAAGTTTGATCGGCAATGCTGTTGGTGTTTTCTGCAATATGTTCGGCAAATCGACAGGCCAGGCAACCTTACTAGGCGAAGTTTCAGGACTTTTACCTGCACACGAATGCCAGGGAGAGGATCATACCCAAGGTTTAGAAAGTCCATCGCGTTCTGGTATGAATTCACCTCGACAACTGGAAAGTGATATAAAACTGAGAAGGAACGGAACAGTTTTACGTTCCCCGTCGCCAGAGCAGCGTGGCTCGAATTTGGCAAAATGGACAGGGTCAAAATTCAACGAGGACGCGGTGGATCTGACTAGCGATGACCCAATGCTTTTGGATGAGCCTGATGATAGTTTCTCAAAGCTTCAACAATTTCCGCCTTCCCCTCCGGTAGCTAGTTCGCGAAAGCATGATCGTCCAGAAATCAAAACACCTGCTGTGACACGATTCGCGCGGCAAGATACTAGCTCAAGAACAAAGGCTCCTGCAGAACGCTTCCGTGATCATGCCATGGAAGGGTTTGTAAACAAAAAACCGTTGTCTGGGCGAGATTCTGCGGAGGCCAAGATGATTGCTCAGTGTAAGCCGTGAAATATTATCGATTCCACCGACACTAACAAAACATTTCTTTTCTCGGGAACCAACGGCGTTCTAGATTATTTTTTTATGGCATACCCAAAGAGTCTTTTTTGCATGTTAACTTTCGGCTCATCTCATACTACAATTGCTTAGGGTTGTATTGCTCCATCACTTTATGTTTTGATAGATAGGCGTTTCTTTTGGCGCTGTGGGTCAAGGATAGCATTGTGCTGGTCGGAGTTGGCACAGCGGATACATAGGGAGCGAGATGGACATTTTCGAAAGAGAGTTAATCGGGACTGGGATAATTTGCTGGATGGTAAGTTCTTCGTTACAGGATTAGAGGAGAGTATCATTTCTCTGCAGCTTGCTGGGGGCGAACGAGCGTGGCTAGATAGACATTCGGGGCAAATAATAAGCATTTGCGATGGTAGATAGAAAGAATAAATAATGTATACGGAGTTTGTTCTAGTCTCAAGAACGTGCCATGTAAACTGGGGTGGGAGCTCGCACATGCTGAAATTTTCCACGGCACCAGCATATATTTCTCCTCTTTGAAAATTTAAGTCGAGTATATAATAAGTAAGTAACTTATTGTGATTATGAAAGGTACTCATTATATCCAGTCCTCCCAACTATCTTATTGACTAGCCAACCCCAACGATGAAGTATTGGCATACGTCTCTAGCTACCGATACACGCAACGCAAACGCAAATGCGAAAAGAATATTTCCTCCCGCTCCATCGAAAAACCGCAAGCAAATTCGAAACACGAAATGAAATAGAATCACATATCCGGAAAAACGCAGAAGACGCCATGTGTAAATATCCTTTAAACATGCTCCCTCCAGCCCATTTGTATTTTCAGATCGAAATTCAGAGTTCATCGCCGCGCTGCAAATTATCCACCCATCCTAGTATTCTCCATGTGCAGAAATTTGATTGAGTACCTAGTATATCTTAATCATCAACCGTAAACCTCATCCTCGAAATACAAAAGTAGACTCTAAGACCTATTCTCGATCAAATCATCCATCCACCTTATTGCAAATGTGCGCCAAATCTTCTCCCCGTATCACCGCCCTGAAACAGATCACCAGCAAAAATACCCGGCGCTGGGCTATTTCCCCTGCTCGCTGTATTGCTCCCCGGTGCCATGCTGCCTATCACTCTCGGTCTCGGACTCATATTATTCATTCTCGGACTTCTTGGGACACTCGTACCACGCGTTGTTCTGCGTCCGTTCTGGTATGATTCCAACTGTCTACTGACGCTTTCTAGCATTCGTTCTCGTTCGGCAAGTTCTCTCTTGAGCTCGTTGATAGAATCAAGTTGTTGCTGTATGACTCCGTCGTGATTGACCTTTTGGATCTCGACACGGGCAGCAGAGGCCTCGCTTTGAAGGCCCTTGCGTTCGGATTGGAGGGCTTCAAGTTTATTGCGCATTTCGTGGGTTTGTTGAGAGTGCTCTTGATAGAGAGACGCTGCATAATCAGCTCGTTTTTCTGCACTCGCGTGATTCTTCTTGAGACGTTCGATTTCAGCCTGTGCATCGCGAAGTTCGTCTTTTGTTTTCTGAAATTCAGCTATGGAGGGAACAGCAGAGGTGGCAAGAGATTTTTGAGCAGCGGCAAGCTCAATTTTCAACGCAGCGTTCTCTTCACGAAATTTTGCGGCTACACTGGCTTGTATTTCCAATTTCCTCTCGTACTCGGATAGACGTTTCACGGCTTGGGCGTTTTCGTGCTCGAATCGGGCTCTCTCGTCTAGGGCTCGCTGGAATTTTGGTTGAATTCGCTTGATACTTCCTTCGTAATCTTCGCATCGACTACGCAGCATTTTTAGTTCCTTGTTGAGCTCCACCAAGTTCCCGTTCGTCGTGTTCAAATCAAGCTCTCTACCCTGTCTTGTGGGTGTAAGTCGCTGGCGCTTAAACGCAGTATCTTCGTCTACAGCATCAAAATCCTAAAAGAGTCATTGTCATGCTATGAGATGAAGCAAAGCAAGAATGTACTTACAGACGGCCGCTTGAAACCGGTTTGCATTCTTGGTTCAGTTGGAGAAAACAAAGATTGAGTCAGTGAATCCGATCGACAGTTGAAAGCTCCATAGCCAGGCAAGGGAATGTCGATATCTGGCATAGGCACTATGGGCCAGGCAACTTCCATCGGGTCCTCAAGAATGTACTCCGCAGCTGCTCTGGCGGCCTGCTGTGGCTCAGGATAGATAGTCGTATCTAAACGACCGACAACCTTTCGAGTTTGAGTGATGTATTGGACTAATTTATCTTTGCGTCTTGATGATACTCTGGTGGGAATGCATAGTTCAATATGTTCAACAGAGTTTGTGGTGATAAGCCATATTAAAGGTACGCGCTTTTCTGGGCTTTTAGGGTCGAGAGGCAGAATCTGATGATATTCATCTCTTACTTCAGAGGTCGGGAATGACGAATCAAATGCCAAAACCACTGAAGCGGGAGCGACAAGGCAATCACGAACATCTATCCACGTAGGAAGTAGCGTGATCTGCATTGAATCCTTTGTAGACTTTTCCGGTGTACCGGATATATCGGGGCGACTGTAATTGTACTCCCTATATCTGAAGAGTGCTTCAAGAATAGGTAGGATCATCTCTCGTGCTAATATCACCACGTGAACCTTAGTTGATCGAAGCGAGTCCAGAAACTGCTGAACAAACAAGAACTTGGTGCTGATAGTTACAGCGTATCTAGCTTGGGTACTGTCATCCAGGCTCTGAGTCGAAGACTCTTCCACAATCAAATCTTGATGATCACATATCAATTTCAATTCCTCGATCATCAAATCCATGCTTTCTGAATCTGCTGCTGTTGGCGACCCCCCTAGGAAAGATAGAATGTCATTTTTCCTATCTCTGATGGTAGTATCGTATACTTCACGGACTTGGTTCATCATTGGCAGCGGAATGATAAATTCATTTCGTCCCAGTTTGCGGACAGTCAAAACGTTGGGACTTGTGCTTGGAGATTCGATTGAAGCTCTTGGCATGGACGTTGCTCTATTGCGCGGCTTCGATACATCAGCAATGTTATCCCGCATGGGCAATGGAAGATTGGTTGAGGATGCTGGCGGTGCAGTTGCTACTCTTGGAGGCAAGGTCGATGGAGATCTAGACTTTGTTGACCTCGCTCTCCTCTCACCAACGGCAAGGTGAGAAGCAGCTGACATCTTAGTGGGAGACGAAGCTATTGCCGCTAAGTCACCACTGCTAGGCCAAGCTAAGTCTGCCGATTCTTGCGAGAATAGCGGTTCTTGAGACTGTAATTGGGCGTTGTGGAGACCCGCCTCGAACTCGATACTCTCTATTACTTGTGCTCCTGCGGAAGGCTCGGAGCCTGAGGGTTGCGTTTCAGGATCTTCAAAGCGGGCAACGCAGTTACTGTTATCGGGCTGATCTTCTGATACAGAGTTTGATTTTGAAAGATCGTGGTGGTTAAGTTCCGGACTTGTGGGTGCAAGATTCGAGACTTGGGAATTGTCAACCTGCACGTGGTCTTTAGAGCCTTGTGACTGGGAATTCCCACCAAAAAGGTCTTGAGATAAAGTTCTAGGAACTTGAGTAACGATTTGTGCAGCTTGCCAAGTCTCTTCTGAGCTTGAGTTATTGATTGTGGCCGAGGGAAGTGATTGAGAACGTTGAGAATCGGAAAGTACAATTTCGGGTTGAGATTGACCAGTGGGCAAAGAAGAAGCACGGTCTTGACTACTGATGTGCGCGTCCACGCCTTGGGTTTGAGAACTAAAAATGATGTTGTAAGTTTTGATCGCATAAAAGTGTCATGAAGAATAATGTGAAACAAAATTCTACAAAACAAGGAATGATAAACTAACCTTTTGGTAGGTGTATCGCTCACAAGAAACGAATCAGGTATCTCCAACGACAATTGTGATTGCTTCTGAGTCTCGGCTTGGTCTGTTTCGCGCTCCTCTTCTTCTTCTTCTCTTTCCTCTCCTTTCCCCTCCTCCTCTTCTTCTAATGATTGATCAAGAGTGTTTGGAGAGTTACGAATTGAAGAATTTACCGCTGGAGAGAGATCCGTGACGGGGGGCTGTTGAGATGGTTCCTCACTGGCTGCAGGATCTAAGGGGGGTTGCGGTCTTGGATGTTGATGTGGTGTCAAGGATACCGGTGGGGCGGAAATCTGATCAATTGATGAAGATAAATTGTCAATGAGAAAACTGTCCGGGATTGAAGATTTTAAAGACGACTCGTTTTGATTTAAATTATTACTAGAACCTTTTTGCTGCTCCTTAACGTTATGTTGTGTGATTCCAAGAATACTACGGCTAATACCTTTCCGGGTTCGGTCCGAAATCTCGGGTCGTACCGATTGAAGGTCTTCACTGTCACTTACGCTCCTCGGAATGGACCGATGGTATGGGGTAGAACAAGATAATAAATATTGAGAGTCTGCTTCAATATCCTCGTCCCATATAAACGCCGGAGCTGATCTTCTACGTGGCAATACTTTTTGAGAATCTGGTGAATCTTGACTTTGCAAAGGAGAGGATGCTTGCAATTGTCCCGGAGAGTTTGAGTAATCTGATAGCTGAGATGACCTGATGACAGTATATTCGTTTGGATTTATATCTTTATTGAGAGCTATCACAATTGAAAGACCATTTCCAGGGCCCGAATCTTGGTCCTCGTAAGTATCCTTGATCTCCTGGATCTTGTTCTTCGTTCCGACCCTCTTTCCAACAGCTCTATTGAAATGATGTCCCTGTCTCTTCTGTGGTAAGACGGAAGCTTCGGTGTTGTTCGTTCTTCGTTTCGCCGGCCGTATAGGTTCGCTATCTTGTGGTTGAGAACTGTGACTTTGGACGACTGGCCGATTTTCCCATTCATAAATTGCGGTTTCTGTAACATGGGCATAAGGTTCCTAAAATTATTCGCTGGTCAGTTTCGAACGCTTTGATATATGTTGGTATAAGTTTCATCAATCATACCCAAGTCGGTTCGTAGGATTCCCC